AGGTAGTCTGCGGGTGACAGTGTCCTGACCTTGACCTCACCGACAATCTCAGACCAGGCGGGCTCCCCTGACCTTACTTTGAGGAACATGTGGGCTCTCTCTCCTCCTCCCCACTTGGGGTCTTGGGCAGAAAGGAGGCAGAGCCCCCTCGCAGGCAGAAGCTGAATGTGAGGGATACCAGGGCTGGGAGCGGCACAGGGGTGGGGGCGGGGGTCACTGCTGGGTGAGCCTGGGGGAGGTTTGGGGCTGTGCCCAGCTCAAGCCCCAGGCCTGTGGCTCCGACCCTCCCGCAGCTTCCGTCAGCACCTGATGTGCTCTGTAAAGGCCTCTTCTGCTCACACAAGCTCAAGTGGTCCTGCTGTTGCAGCTGACAGCGTCACTGCCTCCAGCACCTTCCAGCTGGTCTCTATAACTCACTGGCCTGCCCTTAGAGCAGCCTTCCTGAGTGACAGGAAGGGGCTCCGTGCTTGGAGGGGGACACACCAGCACAGACCTTTCCCCTCTCCTGTCCTGGATGTAGGCCGGGCTGCTCTGCTCAGAGGCTGAGCTGTGCAGAAGGAGGGGCTGGGGCGGGGCCGTCCCTGCTCCTGGGGTCGCTCCCAGGTCCCATGGGGGCCGCCACTGCTGGCTCGTCCACCTCCCTGCCTCCTTCAGGTCTCAGCCCAGGGTCTCAGCAGCCCCTGCTTTCCCAGACAGAGCGCCTGCTCAGTAGAGACCTTGGATGTTGGAAATTGCGGCTGACATGTGTGCACATTTACCCAGGAATTCCATTTCCAGAAATCCATCCTGAAAAACAGACACTTCCTGGTGCAGACGTTCCCTTCAGCACGATTACGGGAGAGAAAATGTCTTACCGAACCCAATGGACTCCGCTTGCCCGCGCACCACACAAAGCCGGACACTGAAGCGCGTCTGTGCTGTAGAGAAGGGCCTGCTCGCGAGGCGGCCGTGGGAGAAGCCGGGAGACACGATCACGTGCGTCTTTACCACAGGCAGGACCGTTGGCGCAGGCGCAGGCGCGAGGGCGGGGCTAGCGGCATCTGGGGGTGGAGCCCCGCCCTGACGTCAAGAGGAGACGTTCGCGCAGGCTCAGTAGAGACGGCACCCGCTTAGCCGGCCCAGCCCCAACAATCCCGAAAAAGTTGACGTTGGGCACAGGGCGTGAGACTTCGGGGCCGGAGGCGTCACCTTAGCAGACAGACAAGTGGCTCAGTGTCCAGCAGCAGCGGCTGCTGAGGACATTGTGACGTGCGGCCACCGAAAGAGCACGTGGAACAGACACAGGGTTGTCTGTGGGCACGTGAGGTTACGGTGGAGCTCCCCACCCACCGCAGGAGCTCACGGGCTGCGCACACAGGGGGGCCCAGGAGCGGGGGCAGCACGTGGGAGGGCGCCGTTTCCTCACGTATTTAGTCCTCATTTATGTTGAATTACTTTCTAAAGCATTTCTTGTCTGTTAATAAATATCTTTAAAAATAAAAGCTAGCTAATGTACTTTATTACTTAAAGGTGAATAATAAATAGTATTTAACATGTTAATCTTTTTGTAATTACAAAAAAGGGCACATTATAAAAATATTTTCATATCACATAAAAGATAAAAGATTTTGAGAGTCGCACCTACCAAAGCTGATGGTCATTAATGGTTTGGTCACATCTCTCAGGCTCTGTCTCTCTCATTTGTCTCTCTCTGTCTCACTCTCTCACAAGACATTTCCATATACCTGTATGAGATCCTCAATACAGGCTGATTGTCAGTATGATTTTTTCACGTAACAGGTTCCTTGACATCTTTCCAAGTGTTCACATACAGACCCACCCCACCCAGCTCAGCAACCACGCAGTATTCCTCAGCTGTATTCCTCAGCACACATGGAACAGGATTTATTCATCCATCCCCTCTACATGGATGTCAGTGAAGTTTCCAATTTCTTGCTGTTTCAACCAGTGCTACAATGAGTACTCTTGAAAATAAGTCTTGAAAAATTGTGCAGGTTCTGTGGGATAAATTTCTAGTATTAGCACTGCTAGTCATGATTTGCAACAATATAACTTGTGAACTCATTACAGTAAATTCTGTATTCCACTCCTTTAGATTCTTTCAGGCCCTTTTCCAGCTGCATGTTGAAAATTGGTAAATGCCCCCATAATTCTGTTCTCCCCCCTGGTGTCCTTTTTGCCTGTTCAGTAATAAGATCACTCTGAAAGATGCTCACAAGTTCTGCAATGTCAGCATGAGCATAGGAGGTGGCGGCATGTGTCAGGACACACACCTCATCCATAGCTGCCTACGAGCTCCTTTTTCTCAGCTACACCAGTTTCAGTTTCGAAACTATTAGACACTGGCCAAAAAATATTTGGACGTGTTATTTATTTTTTACTCTTTTTTTCAGTTTTATTGAGGTATAATTGAGAAATAAACACTGTATGTATTCAAGTTGTACAATCTGACATTTTGATATACATGACATTGTGAAATGATTACCACAATCAAGCTAATTAGCATTTATGTTATCTCAGATAGTTACCTTTTTGTGTATGTGGTGAGAATACTTAAGACCACTCACTCAGTGAAAAAGTACACAATACGTTATTATTAACTGTAGTCACCATGCTGTACGTTAGGTCTGCAGAATTTATCCACGTGCAGAAGACTGAAATTGGACCCTTATGTTACCCATGCACAAAAGATTTACTTAGAATGAATTAAAGATTTAAATGTAAGATTTAGAAACATAAATTTGTAGAAGAGAACATAGAGAAAAAGCTTTTTGACAATGGTCTTGGCAGTGATTTCTTGGATATGACTCCAAAGCAGAGGCAAAAAAAAAAGCAAAAATAGGAAGTGGGACTGCATCAAACTAAAAAGCGTCTGCACAGCAGAGGAAACAATCAGCACAACGAAGGCAACCTAGAGAAGGGGAGAAAATATTTGTAAACCATATATATGGTAAATGGTTACTATCCAAAATTTATAGGAAATCCTGCCACTCAGTGGCAAAAAACAAGTAACCAGATTTTAAAATGAGCAAAGGAACTGGATGGACATTTCTCCAAACAAGACATATAAATGACCAACAGGTATACAAAAAGATGGTCAACATGAGTTATCATCGGAGAAAAGCAAATCGAACCACAGTAGATATCATTTCACATTGTTAGAATGACTAATATCAAAACAACCACCACCAAAACACAAAGATAAGTGTTGGTGAGGATGTGCAGAAAAGGGAATATTTGTGCACTCTTTGTAAGAATGTAAATTGGTGCAGGCAGCATGGAGAACGTATGAAGGGTCCTCAGAAAGTTAGCAATAGAACTACCATGTGATCCAGTATCCTGTTTCTGAGTATGTATTGAAAAGAATTAAAATCAGTATGTGAAAGACACCTGCATTCCCCTGTCCACTGCAGCATTACTCATGACGGCCTCGATATGGAATCAACACAAATGTTCAACAAATGTGGTGTACATGTACAATGGAATATTAACCTTAAAAAGTAGAAATGCTAACATTTGTGACAACATGGATGAACGCAGAGGAGTTCATGCTAAGTGAAATAAGCCAGGTATGAAAGGACAAAGAATACATGATACCACTTACAAGGAATCTAAAATGACCAAACTCATGTAAGCAGACAATAGAATGGTGGCTACCACGGGGTAGGGGGAGAGGCAAATAGGGAGGTATTGGTCAAAGGATACAAAGTTTCAGCTATGCCAGATGATGAAGCCATAGGATCTACTGTATACCATAGTGCCTATAATTAATACTGTATCATATGTTTAAAATTAGCTAAGGATACATCTTTTAACCATTCTTATCACACACAAAATTATAATAGAAAAAGAGGGCAGAGTAACAGATATTTATAGCACAGATTGTTGTGATAGTTTCCTGAATGTAGCTTATACCTAAACTCATCAAATATTATATAAGAAATATGAACACATTTTTGTATGTCAATTATACTGCAAGAGTGTGTTTTTTTTAATAGAAGAAAAAAAATAGAAACCAATTAATGAAACTAAGAGGGTTTTTTTTTAAAGAAAAATAAACAGGGCCGGCCTGGTGGCGCACTGGAGAGTGCGCCACTTGGGAGCGTGGCGGCGCTCCCGCCGAGGGTTCGGATCCCATGTGGAGACCGGTTCCCACTCACTGGCTGAGCGTGGTGCAGGCGCAACACCGAGGGTTGCGAACCGGTTGCCGGTCCCCGGTACAGGTGCGACACCAAGGGTTGTGATCCCGTTACCGGTCAGTAAAAAAGACAAAAAGGAAAAAAAAAAAAGAAAAAATAAACAACATTGACAAACACTTAGCTAGCCTAACTAAAAAAAAGGAGAGGGAAAGAGAATGAACTCAATTAAATATAATTAGAAATGAAAGAGAAGGCATTACAACCAATTCCAAACAACAAAAAGGATCATAGTAGACTCATAAAAGACCACAATCATAAGCCAACAATTCCTAGAAACACACAATCTACCAAGACTGAAAGATGAAGGAATAGAAAACCTGAACAGACCAATAGAGCACGAAACAGAATAACCAATTTTTCTGGGTAAGCACAGCCCTAGTAACCATGATGATGTGAGACTTGGAGAAGCTGTGGAAGGACAGTCAGGCCAACTGCTGCATGGATACCTGGATGCGCGGGTTAAACTCAAGGTGGAAGAGCAGGACGCACACGTTGTCTCAGCCCAAAGTGTGGTGAAATCGAGGGAAAGTGTGTTTTTTGTTATTTCATAAACATGAAATTTGCATGAAGCCAAGACAGGGGCTAGACGAGGAGGTTGGGCCCAGATTTGGGGAGAAGCAGGACTGTGAGCCCCTCCCTCAGCAAAACCCTGGGAGGGTGGTGGTTTGGGTGACATCTTGGCCCCAGGGCTCTCTCAAGTATTCTCAGGGACCGAGGTACAGAGTCCCCTCATTTCCCACATTGAACTCCACCCAGCACTGTCCACTGCTGGTAACATGGATCCCCTGCGACTCTTGTAGGCACATGGAGTACAGGACCCTGTTAATCAGCTCATGGTCACTATCCTGTGTGGAGCTCTATAAAGACAGTGGCCGGCAGCTGGGCAGGAAGCCTCAGACCCTGCCTGTCCATTGTCAGCCTGTTTCTACCCCACATAACCTCCTGATCCCCAGACCACACAGACCCTCATGTCACAGCTTCCACCCTGGGAGGAAAGGAGGCAACAGCCTGAGGCCCAGGATTAACATGGGACAGATGAGAGCTGCCCCCTACTCCCTTCCCACCCTGCCAGCCGATACCTGGCTGTGAGCATGACAGGTCACCAGGTTGACAGCCTCCCACCCACCTGCTCCTGCCCAACATGGGCCTTCCCCATGTCCCCATTCTCCCACACTCAGGAGGAGGGTCTGGGGCTGCCTGGGTAGACTCAGAGCCAGGGCCTGGCCTTGGCAGCCATGCATTACCTTTGAGTACCTCCTGGCAAATGGCCAGAGGCGTATGGAGTGAGGCCTGAGCCAACATCTGCTGTGTCAGAAAAGGCTGTCACTACAGGTTTTCTGAGGCCACAGCCCTGAGAAGTTGGAATACGGCAGGAGAACATCTTGCTCTCTTGAGCATCTCCAGCCAAGTGAGCTGGGCAGGGCTGTCTCTAGAATGTGGGTGCCCGGTTACTGGGGTTCCAAGTTCTGTGATGTGTCACCAAGGAAGTGAGGGAACGTCCTGGGATAGCTTTACCTGTGACCAAATGCTCCTCTGGGCTACTGACTGCTCACCCTCCCACCCCATGACATGTCCATTGTGGACAAAGTTACACCAACACCACCTTTCTGTAGCCCTCTCTGGAAGGCCTGGGTGCAGTCGGGTCACGGATGGGTGTAGACCCAGCTCCTCCTCCTCATCTCTTATGTGACCCTGGACAAGCCACTGTGCCTCTCAGGGCCTCCCCAGTCTCACCTCCTGCACAATGGGGATCACTTTACATCGACCTCCTAGGGATGTCATCAGCACATTTGGGATAACACTGGTGTCACATGTACGCAATGTACAAATTGGAGAAGA